GCCTCGTTTTCCTAACCCTAACCCTACCCTGGGGCACACCCCTAACCCTAATACACGGGTCAAGTCCCATTCAAAAGAGGGCGATTTTGAAAAAGCCTTCCTGGAGGAGGTTTTTCTGTCCAGCTCATCCTTTCTGCCCCTTCTAAACATGTTCCAACCATCAAAACCATGCCAGGACGCCTCGTTTCTCTAACGCTAACCCTACCCTGGGGCACATCCCGAACCCTAATATAGGGGTCAAGTCCCATTGAAAAGAGGGCGATTTTGAAAAGCCTTCCTAGAGGAGGTTTTTCTGCACAGCTCATCCTTTCTGCCCCTTCTAAACATATTCCAACCATCAAAACCATGCCAGGAGGCCTCGTTTTCCTAACCCTAACCCTACCCTGGGGCACATCCCTACCCCTAATACAGGGGTCAAGTCCCACTGAAAAGAGGGTGATTTTAAAAAGCCTTCCTAGAGGAGGTTTTTTTGCCCAGCTCATCCTTTCTGCCCCTTCTAAACATGCTCCAACCATCAAAAACATGCCAGGACACCTCGTTTTCCTAACCCTAACCCTACCCTGGGGCACATCCCTAACCCTAATATAGGGGTCAAGTCCCACTGAAAAGAGGGTGATTTTAAAAAGCCTTCCTAGAGGAGGTTTTTTTTCCCAGCTCATCCTTTCTGCCCCTTCTAAACATGCTCCAACCATCAAAAGAATGCCAGGAGGCCTCGTTTTCCTAACCCTAACCCTACCCTGGGGCACATCCCTAACCCTAATATAGGGGTCCTGTTCCATTGAAAATTGGGCGATTTTGAAAAAGCCTTCCTTGAGGAGGTTTTTCTGCGCAGCTCATCCTTTCTGCCCCTTCTAAGCACCTTCCAACCATCAAAGCCATGCTGGGACGCCTCGTTTTCCTAACCATAACCCTATGATTGTCAACCTTTTAGAGACCGAGCGCCCCAACTGCAGCCCAAAACCCAATTATTCATCACAAAGAGCCAACCCTGCAATCAAACCTGAATACTGTGTTTTTAGGTGAGAAAAAACAACTCACATTCAGTGCCAGCAAATATAGATATCTATCCTTGGCAGCGCACTCACTGGCCACGCGAAAGCCCGCACGAGTCGCGGCCAATGAGTCTTGCCTCATGGCATGATCGCCTGGCGCCGCTGCTCCTTTCTGAGCAGGCACATGGCCCCTGTGTGCGCTGCCGTCCGCTGCTTGGCTGCTGGGGCGACTTCCTCGCATGCCGGCGGAGAGGGTCTGCGTACACGCTGTGGCACATGTGCCATAGCTTTGCCAGCACTGGCATATATAAACATTTAGAAAGCAAATAAATAAGTAAAAGCCCGCAGATCAAGAAGCCTACTTTCTCTGACTCTGGGAAGACCCTCGCTTGCTCCCGCGGATTCTGGTGGGAAAGGAGCGGAAGGAATTGCATGTTTACACGCCGGCATCCCGCCCGGCGAGACGGGTGGCTCTGCTCTGGGAGAAGCGGGGCAGCTGGGAGATGCTGGGGGGTGGGAGCCCCCTCTCCCCACCGCTCCCATGGCCTTCCTAGGAAGAGATGCTTCCTTGGCAATACTCACGATTTCCCAGAGCGACTGCACCGGCATGCAGGAATCGCAGTGCACCAGAGACTCGGTGGATTGCGGGAAGGTGTTCGGGACACTGTAGCTGAAGCACTGCCCCAGGCAAGCCCTGTGGGAGGAGAACCAGGAAGGAATCAGTTAATCAACTGAAGATGTTGTTGATTAAGTGGGTCCGTGCCTACGGGCGCCCCCTGTGGGAATCTTGGCGCCAAGCATGCATTGGAGGGGGAGGCCCTTCTCTCACACCAGCAAGGGCTGCCCAGCAGCTTGGAAGGACCGGCGGCAGGCTGTGCGATGCAAGGGAAGAGCCCCGGGGTGAGGGGGAGTCTACCGCAAAATCGCCCTTTATTTATTGATTGAATTTTTATGTGGGCGGGAGCCAAATAGGCTGGCAACTGAAGGCTTGGACCAGTCCGAAAATCTCCTAAGTCAGCATTCCTGACAGCACGACAAATTACGAACCCAAAATACAGTGGGTGGAAAAGGCAACATTTTGCAGCATCTCAGCCTGAAGGTGATGGAAGACCCGGTTCCCGACCCCGTACCTGTTCTGGATGGATTTGGACTCGCACCCGTTGTGGCCGACGATTTGGGTGATGTTTTTCGCCTCGCACCAGGCACTCTTGTCTGGGAACAGGGCCAGCTTGTTGATGGGAGGAGGTGCGGCCAGGATCAGGGCCGGAAAGAGCACGGCCAGCAGGTACCTCAGCATCGTGACCTGTTCCAGAGAAACCCTAAAACTGGGCCCAAGGAGAGAAAGACTCTCAGACGAGCAAGACAATAAATTTGCCTCGCACACCACTCCACACAATCTGTTTCGCTCTTTCGCTCAGTCATCTGCTAAGTTCCAGCCTATCCCAACTTGATCTCTTGGACTACACCTCGTAGAATCAGCCATGCTGGCCTTGGTTGATGGGAACTGTAGTCCAATGTGGAGGAGGTTTTTCAGCATGGCTAATGTTAGTGTGTTTGGGTTTTCAAAAATAGCAACACAATTGATCTTTTCTTCCATTTCAGACTGGATTTGTAATGGGGATGCAAAACTTGGGTTATGAATGGACAAATGATTTTGCATGTTTCTACACCGATCAATCAATCAATCAATCAATCAATCAAAGTATTTATGGGTCTACGCACTCCATTTTTGCAAAAGAGCCCAGAAAGTTGCGAGACACGTTGAGTTCATAGAACCTTTTCTGCAAGCAAATAATTTAAGTCATGTAGATATTTTAACATATACAGATAAATTTTGCAAACCACCCAGAAAATTTTGGCTATTGGGCAGTATAGAAATGAAATTAATACTAATACGCAGAATAAGTGTAATGCAACACATTTTAAAGAGACTGTGTTTAAAAAGCAGGAGCCATCCAAGAGGCTGATGTGAAAAGCAGTCAGAAATCATAATGAAATGGACAAGGAAAGCTCTCCTTTATTTCATTGCGTGTCAGTGTATCGTGCTTCAAGTCGGGGTTCGATTCAGCTCTGGAACCGTGACTGGAATAAACAGACAGAAATTCAGCGCTTCAACCAGCAGGAGTCGCTTTTGGCAAGACGATTTGACAAGCCAGAGCCAAAACCAAACTCGTCTTGCAAGAGGACTGGATTTGGCCACCGGACTGGAGAAAAACCCTCCCCAGAGATGTTGGATAGCAACTGGCAACTTTCCCCACAGCTGTGCATGCTGCCTGGGGCTAATGGGGTTTGTGGTCCGAAGGACCGAGAGGGGGAGCCACTCTAGATGGACAACTCAACCGTGTGCATGTCCGGCAGGCCTCCCGCAGCCAAGCACGGTTTCTGATGCGTGTCAGCATGAACCGGCACGAGCTGGACCCACGAAGGGAGCTATTCCCATTCCCCAGGGGTGGCTCTCGGAAAACGCTGGCAGCAAACTTTGCAACGGGTTGACCTCTCAATGAAGGCTTGGGCCAGTTGGCTGGTGTGCCCTTTGTAGCTACTTTGACACCGGTGTGTTACTGCAGGGCAGTGAAAGAGAAAATATTAAACCATCCCGATATGGAGAGAGGTATTTCCAGTCCTTTGCACAGTCTCTGTCCCCTAATGCAGGCATAACACACCACGACTTGCTAACCATGGCTTGTTGCTGGGCTGTGAGCTGTGGTTGTTCCCCTAGGTGAGATCTTGGCTTGGCTGAGACCAGAACCTGCCCTGAAGGGCTGAGTGCAGGTTTTCAACGAACCATGGGTGTTGTTGAAATGCAGCTTTTCGGGTAGTCAGAAGCCGAGACAACAAGTCACCAAAGGCCGTTTGTGGCTATCAAGCCGTGGCTTATTCGCAGCACTGGGTTCAGATCACACGTGGTTCCAGGCCAACCCTTGGCATAGCAAGAGGCTGATGGAGCGTGACCTCCAATCACCATATTCTTTTTACAAGCAAATAATTAAATGCTGTTTTGTCTTTAAAATGCCTGCAAACCTGGGAACCTAAAAATATTTTTTGGCTGAAAAAATGGGGTAAAATACTGCAAACAAAGACACACGCAGTCCAAGAGTGAATTTTTAAGTGTGATAAGCAGCAAGAGGGGGTGGTGGAAAGTCCGCTCGTTCAGGGTGGTCTTCCGCAGTTCGGCCCTCTCAGATGTTTTGGACTACAGCTCCCATCAGCCCTGACCATGCCAACTGGGACAGACTGGAGGTATTATCTAAAAATCTGGAAGTCTCCAGGACTGAGGAAACTAAGGATCAAACTAAAGATTTGACAGTAGGAAAAGAAGCCTTCCTCTCCTTAGTATATCACTGTATATACTCTTGTTTGTTTAGGAGTCCTATGAAATTCACAGTTTTCCAGTGTTTCAGTGTTACAGAATACCCTGGGAGTCCTTCAGCTCTGCCTGCTTGAATATGTTACCAATTTGCAATATCGTGAATGATGCATCTTGCAAAGTTACTAATGTTTTCTGTTTTCTTTTGTTTTCCAGCGAAGGACGCATCCAGCCGCTTCCTGGCTGCCCCTGGACAATCTTATACCTGCTGGCGTCGTGTTTGGGCGGCAGCCTTTTACATCAAAAGTGCACAGCGGGAAATTCTGGCACGGGCAGCTTCAGACAGAAAAACAGCCTCCTATCAGCCAAGGGATCAAACCAGGTACCTGCTTGGCATGTTTTGACAAAATCGGTTTGCCCAACTGCAGCTGCACCCCGGCCAAGACAGCAATTCCACCAACGGGGCTCCGTCAAATCTTTGTTTTCCCTCCTTTCCCCTGAGCTGTGTTTACTAAAGCTCTCGCGCTGCAGAGCGAGCTCAGACCCGCACGATGGGGGTGCAGCCAAGCCGAGAGCTCGCCGTGGGAGAAAAAGAGGCAGCCATGCGGGAGAGGGGGCGGCCGGCGCGCCCCTGGGCACTGGATCCCCAGCCGCGTGGGCTTTGCAGGCAGCTCCGAGGCCTTCCCACCGCTAGCGCGCCCGGGCTAGCGGAGTCGGATGGCACCGGGACCCAACGGCCCGTTTCCCTCTCCTCGGAAAGCCGCTTGACTTCTGAATCAGGAGAGAATCTCTGAACCAAAAGGCCCCACGGAAAGATCGAGCGTTCAGAGGCCGGCTGTGGGCCTGCTGCAGGGGAGCTCTGGGCGAGCCACAAAGCCAGTGTGGGTCCCCGGCCAGTTGGTGGTCTCCCCGCATGGTCTCCTGAAGGGGAAAGCTTCTCCGAAGGTCTCCCAACTTGGCAGCAAGAGCTAAATACGTGGGTCGTTTTGGTCACGTGGGCTTCTCCCGCCCAGCGATGTGGCTCCCAGGAGAGTCTCCAAACTGAAATTTGGCCCTTGTGGAGAAAAGAAGCCCCACTCCTTGCTGTAGGATCCTGCACTTCAAGAAAATATAACCCATGTGTCCCTCCCCTTCACATCCATGAGGACTAGCTCTTTATCTATTTATTGAAAACTTCTGTATTCTGCTCACTACCAAGGCCTCGAGACAGTCTAGGAACTAGGCTAGGATGGGAAAACATCTCCGAGGGATTGCATCCATTGGCCAAAGAGCGGTGATATACTGGATGTGTCCCCCCCCCGGGGGTCTCAATCGGGTATGGCCAGCACCCCCAAATTGGAACCCCGATTCTTTCTACGTGCAAATAGCACCGTTACTTCCTAAAATCTTGGGCTGATGCTGCAGCAGGGAAGCTCCGTCAGAAAGGCACAAGTGCTGGAGAAAACGCAGCACATGGGCTCGTAAACGGCGGATTCAGAGGGAGACAAAGTCAAAATGCACAGACAGTGACAGTCGTGGGGGCCGCCCAGAAAACAGACATCGGCCGAGGAATCTCATAAACATCCTGCCGTGAGGTAAGCCACCCCATTAAATCAGTCATTCCAAAGTGATTGGGCAACAATCATTTAAATAAATATACTTCCTGGACGCTGGCAACCCGGTGCTCTGCAGTTGCTGGAGACTACAGTGCCTATCATTCCTGGCCATCAGCCATGCTGTCTGGGGCTCATGGGAGCCGGAAGCTGCAAACCTCCGGGGTGTTCGCCTTGGGGAGGACCCGGATGCTTAAGTTGTGCATTCCGTTCTTGTCTTTTTTTAAAAAGAAAGCCTTTATCCCATTTCAACCCACACGAGATAGAACTGAATCTCGTGACGAATCGGATGCTAACCCCCCCCCCCACTCCCTGCACGCAGCTCCCTGGGTCTCGAAAGAAGGAGAATTGAGGCAATCGGACATCTGCTTTTGAGAAAGGGGGAAAGCACAAAAATGCAGGTTACGGTCCTCGCACAGAAATGCGGCTCATCTGCGAAGCAGATGTCTTTCGGGAGAACCGCGCGGAGCTGAGGAAAGAGCTTTTCAAAGCATGTGTCCTGGCTTTGGCGAAGACCTGGCAAGGGGACGCCTCCGAGATAACCAGAGCAGTACGGACTAGTGGTTAGAGTACCGGACTGGAACCCCAAAAGCCTCCTGGGGAGTAACTGGCAGGAAAAACTTTCAAGAGAGCCTCTGTGGAGTCACATGCCATTTGCCCCGCCCCCTTGCCTTAGGCCCCACCCACCACGGGCACACGGCCAATGAGAGTTTTCTTGGGCTGCAAGGGGGGCAGCTGGAGGCTTTTAGGGGCCATGACATCCCCCCCACCCCGTCTTGTACCTAAGGCCTTGGATTCATATCCCCACCCCCTGAATTTGCTGGAAAGAAAACTTAAATCACACCAACTCTTGAGATCATTGATTAATTCTTGCATTTTCTTCCTTTCACACCCATTTATTTAATTTTACCCAGCACTGCTTGAGCCGTCAGTGCCCTCCAATGGCAGGCCTTCTGGGGCAGGAGAAAACCCCGAAGAAGGGTGTTAACTTACCCCGAACAATCTCCCCAAAACCTTCTTTAAAGGAGGGCGAAGACTTTGGCCAGAAATTACAAGCAACACCCCCCCCCCTTGTTAATAATTCGGCAAGAGCTCTGCTGAATGGCCGCTAAGCATGCAAATTTGAGGTGCTTTGCCTGTTTGGGGCCACTGCTGCCTGGATTTGGGGGGCACTGCTGCCTGGATTTTCCACCCCCACACCTGTTAGAGCCGGCGCTTCCTCAGAGAAGACAATCCGGGCTGTTCCCAGCCAGTGTGGCATCTTCCCAAAAGGGGCAGCTATGAAAAGTGGGACCCAAATTTGGGGGATCGATATTTGTGGCTTAAAACAAACAGAGGAAAACCCGCCCATCCCGTACTAACTCAGACCTTAGTCACCGATCCTCGCAAAGAACCCACGACTGATCTTGCAAATGTTGTGACTTTTGGCAAAGGTTGCGATTCCCACTTTCCGTGCAACTTCAGAAAGGAGTCCTGCGAAACGCTAGACCTCGCCTAAGTGCCGAGCAAGAAAAGACGTCAAACCGCTGGCAAGATTTCTGCTGAAGCCACTTGACTTCCAAGGAAATGCACTGAAGACTCGCATTCTTGCTTTCCCGGTTTTTGCCGCACGTTGGATGTGGTTCCTCTCCTCCCATACGCCCTGTCTATTGTGAAGCTCAGTTCTTAATATGGCCGGAGGTCTATGGATGTTTTGCCTGTTCAGGAGAAAGGGACTAGAGCTATTTGGGAGTAGCTGCAGGCCTACTGCCAGACTGGAGGGCTGGGTGCATTCGGTGGGACCTGCTCCTCTTGAGGAGCAATCAAAAGAATCGGGTGCATTTAGCCCTGAGGAGAGAAGCTGGAGGAGGGAAAAGGTCTCCCTTTCCGAGTCCTTAAAGGCTGCTGCTCAGAATAAGGCCGCAGCTGTCATCTGAGCGGACACGGAATAAACCATCTGAGGTACCAGAAGGTACATCTCAGATGAACATCAGGAGGAAACGTCGAAAGGTCAGACAATGACTAGATGCGGACCCCACGCCAGGGTTGAGTGTGGGTTGCCAGGGAACTATGCTTGCTCCTGAAATGTGAATGACTGCGTTGTTTCAACCAGCCATGCTCACATACTATGGTCTGTTAACCATGAACAACCCACAGTTTGCAACCAAAGAACAAACCATGGTTTGTTCGTGGTTGTTAACAAACCATGGTTTGTTAAGGAGGCGAGATTCAGACAAGGTGATAACCCATGTTTCAGTGAGAACCATGGGTCAATGGCAACCCACACTTAACCGTTGAGTGTAGGTTATTGTACTGTCCGAACCCAGCCAGTGGAACCGACCACCTGAGAACATGGAGGGCTCTTCATCCTTGGTGGAATTCAAGTGAATATTTAGTGGCTTTCTGTCAAGGAAGTTTTCATTGGATTCCAGCGCTGCACTGGGGCCTAAATGCTGTCTTTGGAATTTGGGATTTTCTGGTTAGAAAGGAAATCGAAAGCTATCGGATATTCTTGGAGGTTCTTGAGAGAGTCAACATTGCTGGGATGAAGAGTCATTAAAGGGCTTGGTGACCCCAACATCGGGTATAGAATGTCAGGACCAGGCAATGAAACAGCCCACAGGGGGTCCCCAAATACCCCTACAGAGTAAATCCGCTTCAGTCAACAAAATAATGGGTTCCTTTATATGTGGTCTACCACAGAAGCTGGAAAACTACTATTATACTCCATCTTCTATGCAGGGTAAAGAGGTGTTTGGCACAGTTATTATTCACCTACAGGCAATTAGGCAAGCAATTTATTTTTGTGGAAGTTCTGAGGGTGAGCATCCCCCAAAACTTGCTCTGGAGTTTCGGCATGTTTGTGGCGGTTTTCACCATGCTGCCTTGGGAAGAGGAGGGGGAAAGTCTCGGCATCAGGGAAGTTTTTAGGTTTGGGGAAGGCACGGGGGAAATGTCTCTTTCTCCCCTGAGCAAAATTTTTACTCTAATTCACAATGGGTGGAAGTTGATAGTTCTCAGCCTGGAATAAGTGTTTTGGGGATTTGTTTAAAGTTGAGCTTAATGTTGAGTTTAACTTCTGCAAAACTGGAACTTCTCGTGATCTGTTGTAGCAAACTTCTACCCAAATAACAACAGGCAAAAGTATGTTAGGAAAAACATCCCCTTGACTTTCCGGGAATAAGAGATTGCAAGTGTAAAGTCACTCGCTCTGGGAAAAGACCACATCTTTGTGAAGCCCAGGACTGCTTTTAACAACCAGTGAAAGCCAGCGAAAACCATCAAGAGAGCAAGTTTTATTACCTAGCAATTCGCCCTGCCTTAAGATACGTACAGTGGATACTGGGTGTCTTTCACTTCCATGAAAGTAAATGTCATTTTTTAAAAATGGCACCTAAACAGGTTTCAAAACCACCCCAGAGTCGCAAAAAGGCTCAGCTTCGCAGAGTAAAATCCAGCAACAGAAAAGACACATTGAAATGAACAGGACAGGTTAGGAACCTAAGTTCCACTCATGCCAATATGTCTACTTTAAGTAGGACACAAATTGGACTTTACCCAACATGTGCAATACTTTAATTTTCTTCTCTGGCCTTTCTGTCGCTTTGCACTGAAGCAGGAAGATTTTCCCTTGCTTCTCTTTGTTCAAGATCCTCTCTTTTCTTTTGTCCCCCCTCCTTTGACCAGATGCTCCCCGAATTCATTATTTCAGAACTCTATCTGCTCAGTTATTTTCTCCCTTTCATAATGGGGAGGGAAAATTAGGAGAGAGATCAGAGAATCCACACACAAAGGAAGTTTCCAAAATGCAATTTTTCATGGATTCTTCTCTTTTGTTGAAGGCTGAGGGGAAAGCGGGTGGGGGTCAAAATATTTTAATGACTCTAAAGCTATTCTCCCCCCCCCCCGCACGCGCACACACAGAGTGCTCCAGTCTTGTTTCAGCTGTATCTGATTTATATTTGCTAAGATTTCTCATCTTTCAAACCATCCATCACAGCTGGGAGAGAGGGGAGCAGAAACTCAGAGCCCAGCAATCTGGTCTTCATAAATAGGGAAGAAAAGAGAGACAGGTTTGCTTCTACTTAATGCAGCCCCCTCAAGAGTGGTGGAGAAGGGGAAAGCTTCTCCAAACTGTGCTTAATGGCTGGCATTTATCACAGATTCGCATAAAGAAGGCAGCCCTGTAAAAGTTTCTGCAAAAAGGCACTCACTGAGGGACTTGGGCGTTTGAAATTGGCAAACTGGCTGCATACAAAGCTTTAAAAAGTCACTGTTTTTCCCTTAAGCTTCTTCCTCTTCCTGTACCCCACAAATCTGATTACCTAGAAGAGAGATTTACTCGCCCCAGGAGAGTAGGGTAGAATTTACAAGCCCAGCTGATAGCATGAAAGTAGCACTTCAAACTTTCTTTTTATCTTAAGCAAAGCTACTCCCCACCCAGATATGATCACACAGAGATTTGCGCTCACCTGACCTATCAGTCGCAACCCAACACAGAACGTGCTTGCATGAAGGCCTAAAATTAATAGGTGCATCCCGGATTAATACCGAAACTGTAAACCAAGTTGCTTAGAAGTAAGTCCCACTGAATCCAAGAAAACACGCACAGCCTTGTTGGTGCTGTGAAATTCTCGGCTTGTGGATCTTTGGCGGTACATGATACCAGGACAGAAAATCCTGAACTCAGAACTCTCCTGGGATCAGCACGATTTCTTTGTAACATCTGAAAAAGTCCTAAACTGCTGTAGCAAAAGATACCCTTTCGGCTCCTTCGTATCACCATGTCCCGGTGCAGCATTTGAGCGAACAGATGTGCCAATCGTGTCTATAAAGGACTCAGCACAGGGCAACTGTTCAAAAGATTTTACTGTGGAACTAGAAAGTGGAGAAAAACAGTGATTACAATCAGATATTCCTGCTGATTAGGGATGCATTTACTTCTTTAAAAGCTGCTGTTTAAAAACAACCCTTTCAGCTCACCCTAAGCAGCACAAACACTGAAAAAGTGACCTCTTGCGTTATATTTCTTTCTGTCTTTGGATATATTTATGCAGGTAAAATTCTGATGCATCATAGTGATTCTGCCCACATGGCAGAGCAACTGGCAAACTTTTGAATGGCATGCAGAGCATTTTTTGGGCCGCGGAGCTCAAAAAAGCAGAGAGCAGCAAGGAGTCAAACAGGTTAGAAAAGCAGATCAGAAGAAAACAGCCCAAAATCGGTACTTACCATTCAATGCACTGGAGGGTTATTCCATTAGAGAAAAATGTTTCTCGCCACTGCTGATTTTCTCCGAGGGAAAAGCAACAACGAGCGCTTGGAATGGTCCTTTCCGCAGTTCAGAATCAGTTTTCTTTCTGGCAGTTTCAATTTGCTTCAGAGCATATCCTAAATAGGCAGAGGAAAACAGGGCATGCGGGGAAAGGAATTCCTTAGGAGTTCCAAAACGATCCCAGCAGGTAGAGGAGAGAGCGTGAGAGAGAGAGAGTAGGAAAAAGAAGCTATTTCCAAAGCAGGCACCAGAATCCTAAAGATGCCAGTCCGCCTAGTCCATCCGAAGAGGGTGCTCTCCCTTCCCCGGTGTGGCCAAGGCAAAATCCAGCAATCCTGCAAGCAAGAGACAGCATCGAAGCGACCCGCGGCAGCCGAAGAATCAGCTCTAGCGTTTTAACCGAAAACTCAAACCAGAGTAAGACTGGGGGTGGAAAAAGGAAAGGGGGATCTCCTAAAGCGGAGGACAGATGCTTAAAACAAAAAGCATCTGTCAGAAAAACAGCCTGGAAAGGAGGAATCACGGGCTGGGGGAAGCTTCGCAGTCTCCATCACAGCCGCTGCCTCTTCGGAATGTCTCTTTTCCAGGGGAGAATTTCTGAACTCTGAGAACAGCAGAAACCACAAGGCTCAAAGAGAAGAGACAGAAACACTCCTCCTTGTAAATCAACTCCCCTTTCCTCCTCCTCCTCCCCCCTCCCTCCCTCCCTCTCTCCCAGGATAGCCACTTCTCGGCTCTCGGTTCAGAAGGCGACCTTCTCTTTCTTCTGCCGTCTTGCGTTGATTATATTGTAAAAGACAAGAATGAGCTACATGGGATGGGGGAGGCTTTGAGAGACAAGGAAGATGTGCCCCCCCACCCACTGGGTGCTTTGCTCATGCCCCCACAGGCCAGCCCTGGATGCTGGCCAGTGCTCTTGCTGGGCGGCCTGGGCACAGCAAGGGGAGGCAGGTGGTGGGGGGGACCTTGCAGGAGTGCTGGGCTGGGCGTGTGCACACGTGTGTGTGATTTGTAAAAGTGACACGGATTTGAGGTGCTCGATGGGGCTCCCTTGGATGGGGGCAGTCTACCCCGAAACACAAGAGGGGAGCCAACGGTGGCGGATCTCTTTTGACCCACTGGCGGCACTTCCGGAGGCGAGGGCTTGCCTGTGGGACGGGACATGCCCTGGGCCCGATCTGGCCGGGCAGGGAGTGGGACCCAGGCCTCCACGAGCCGGTGCCGGTGGGGGCTTCCGGAGTGTTGGCCCGGAGACGAGGCTCTCACCCGGCGTGACCCGGCAGTGCTCCTCTGCCGTGCAGTTGGCAGCCTGCAACCGTGGCGCCCTTCCCCACGGTTGCCAGGTTGCCCGGGCGGCTGCGAGGGCTCCGAACACGTCGAGACACGGCCGGGTCCCACGCAGGCGTGGGAGCCGAAAGGCCGGGCACCCAGCTACGCATGAGAAATGCAGGCGGGTGGGCGGGCGGCTCTGTTTGGGCTTGAATGTGGAGCCGGGGAGCGACATGGGAAGTGTTTCGGAGTGCGCGCCCGGTGTCTGTGGCTGATAAGGGAGAGCGTGGCGGCTCCCGAATTTGCTTCGATTGGAGCCGCAAGCTCCGTCAGGCCGAGGGCGGGATTCTAGGTCGGGGCACTTTCCCAGGACGGCAGGGGCTGAAGACAACAGGAGCGGAGCCAAGGGCAAGAGGGGTGACTCCGCCAGCCGGTGTCTGCACAAACCGCCCACTGCCAGCCACTAGCAGGGGCAATTCGATCTCTTGGAGCTGGGGGGGGGTGCAAAAGCCGGGAAAGCCCCCATGACCAGCGGGAGGGGCTAAGAAGGGTGTGTGGCCACTTGGGGGGCAGAATAGGACCCCGGCAAGGGAAGTTTAGCCCGTGGAGTTATGCTTCTGCCCCCGAGGCAGCTTGGCAAATAGGGGCATGCAGAACCGATCTGCACCGCCTTAAGCCCAGCTCCGGAAGGCGTGAATTTGCACCAAAGCAGAGAGCGGAGGCGGCCGCCGAACCGCAGGTCGCTGCTGAAACATGGTTTGCCGTGCGCAACGCGGCAGCAAACCATGGTTTCTCTGCATGGGTTGTTTGTGGTTAACGCCTGTGGTGGAAGTGGATGGCCATTTTCTGCTCCAAGATGCCTGCGATTCATCCATAGAGGGAACCTTCTTTGTGCTAACACAGCTTTCCTCTGGACGGCCAGATCCTGGCGACGGCAGACCAAGAAACGGGTCTTCTGAGTTGTGGCCCGTTTTGAGAGCATCGCAGCAGCTTACCTGGGTTGTGACAGTGTTGGGGTGCCACAGCCTCTGCCTGGCAGGAACAAGGCTTGGCTCCGATCCCGAGATCTCCAGGTACGACTAGAAAAGATGCCCCGTGTTTGAGGTATATTCCCTGGTCTGCTGTTATCCCAGAGTCTCAGCTCCAACGGGGCACACAAGCTGTCCAGAGAGGCCCAGAACATCTGGGCTGAGCGAACCTCATCAGCAGGGGTAAAAGTTTTGCTTGGGGGAAAACACTGTGGTTTTATTACCCCACCCACAGCCACAAAGCTGCCTGGGCGACTTTAGGCCCACAGCCAAGGCCTACCTTGCGGGGCTGTTGTGAGGAGAAAGTGGTGGTGGAATGGACCACATACGCCACAGTCGAGTTCCTCAGAAAAAATAGCAGAGGCGTAACTGGAGCAATGACAGATATACATAAATAGTTCCCTTAGGAATGCTCCCAGCTCCACAAAAACACACACACAGACACGAAGTGGCATCTTGAAGTCTAACAGACAGCATTCCAAGCTGACACCGAGCCACGGGGACTCCCTGGTAGGTCCAAGCATCCAAAATTGACAGATTTATTGGGTCAGGGCTTAAGCTGGAGGAGCGGGTGGAGGCACAGACAGAGGCAGCGTACCGGGCCTTTTGACAAATTTGGTTAGCGGTGAGAGCTGGAAATGGAACCTCCCGGCACAGATGCAGTCTACCTCACAGTCCCAGGCATTGGGGACAAAAGAGCTTGTGTCTAACCCTGTACAGCAGCTCTAGCAGATGAAACACACCTGGCAGGAAAGCCTTTGGGCAGCCACTAAACTGGCAATTAAAAAAGGAACCACGCAATTGGAGCCACCTTTGGGCACCCGTTGTGGAAAACAGGATGCTGGACGCAATGGGATGCCGCAGGGGCCTTCTGGAGGCCCTAGCAAGCGAGCAAACGGGCCGAGCGGAACCCGGTGAACCTCCCAGCCGGGAATCGGGGCAGGGCAGGGCAGGCCAGCACGGCGGGCCGCCGCGCAGCTCAGCACAAGCCGTTTCGAGCACGGGGAAAGGGTACCCACCGCCGAAGCAGCTCTCCCCTCGCTCCCCTCTCCCCGCCCCTGCCTGCCAGAGTTCACACTGTGGGTGGCCCAGCGGGGCCCGATCTCGCTCAGCGCATCGGTATGCAGCGCCGTCCGTCCGTGCTCCATGCGCCAAGTTGGCACAGGGCAGTTCCTCGAGACGGAGGGATGGTTCCAGGCAGAAAGCCCTGCCGCTCGGCCTCCGGGCACCGGGGAAGGAGGCTGGGCCAGCCATCCGTGAGCTGCGTCGACGGAGGCAGAGTGGCCGGAGTCGCCTCCCTGGCCTTGCGCCTGTGCTCAGCCGCTTCCGCCACCGGCCTTCCTTCGTGGGAGTCGGCCCCTCCACAGCCCAGCAGGGCAGGCCCTGCGACTTGCAGAGCCTTGGCTCCGGTTCACCACCAAGCTGGGCGTCCGGAAAGAAATAGCCGTGCGCCCCACGGTGGCACCGGATGGCGTCCAGGATGCCTCTGGGCTGTTCCTCCGTCTCCGGTTGTGTGGGCGTTTGCCCCGGGTGGATTGGTTCATAGGGGTGGGTGGGCACACCCCCTCCAACCATTGTGGGTTGTAGCCCTCCCCTTCCATGGCCAGGTGGGTTGATGGAGGTTGTAGGAACCTCGGAGGTGCCGGGTTTCTAACCCAGACACACCCCGGGATGCTGCCGGCTGAGCCACGCAGGGCCAGGTGTGGAACCCCAACCCCATGGGAAGCCAAAGCATCCTTCTGAGGGAAGGAGGGAGGGTCCAGCCGGCCACCCACCCATCCCCACAATCGCTGCTCTTGGGTGATTTTGCCGCTAAAATTTTGCCGCTATTGCAGTTTTGCTCTCCCATGGTAAAAGGTTGGAACGCTTTTCCGAAAGCTAAGAGGGGGGAAGAACTGTCATCCAGCACACAATAATATTTCTGCCTTACTCACTGCTAGAAGGCAGCAACTCCAAACCCTGAATTCGGTTCTGCTCCCCTGCTGTGGATCCGGCTCGGTTAGAGCTACTCCCGACTGCTCTTTCATCAAAGCAGTATTTTTCAACCGGAGGCTGGCAAGGTTCAGACCAAAGAGCTGCCCTCTGGCTCTGCCTTCCTTATTTGGGTCAAAAGAGTGGTCTCTTGCTTTGGAACTCAACCCCCCCCCCCCCGCACACACACACACAAGCAAAAAAGGCGATCTTCCTTAACCGGCAAGGCACTTTCCGAAATCAAATTTGGGAGCTTCAGTTTAGAAGGGGAAGGAGCGATTTCAGATGACTTAGAGGCAAATTGGGCAGCGGAGGGAGGAGGAAGGAATTGCTTCCAGATGGAGCATTTACTCAACTTTGCATTTCTTCGGGTACTTAAGAGGTTTTCCGCTAGCGCTTCGCTTCCCCATCCTTAATTGCTTTTGTTCCGACATCACAGGCCGCGGTCGTGCAGAGACGAAAACAAAGCCGATGCGGCGTTCTGTGGAGATGCTCCAACTCCGCTTATTTAAACAGGCGCAAAAATAACATCTCCGAAGCGCACACCTGACAGTGCACGTAGTGCCATGCCGTCAAAAAACAAACCAACCCACCTTCAGGTCCCCCCACCACCACCTTTGGCATTGGGCTCAAAACAGAGCGATTGGGGAAAGCAAAAGGCAAGGTCTAAATTGCTAGTTCTTCCTGAGCAAAGCTCCGACCCATTTCTTTCTTTAGCATTTCATGCAGGGTTGTTTTTACAAACAGCTGGTGGAGAAAGTGGAGCACGCCACACTGAGAAGAGGAAATGGCTTGGTGCAGGGGAGATGGTGCAGCTGGAAGACCGAAGGTGAAGCAGGTCTTTTCTCCACGACCTGCCAGGCCCCCTAGTTGCAGAATATTTCCCCCCTTGTGTGGAATCTTTCGGCCAGGAAGATCCTCGCATTCCTGCAGCAACAGAGCCCAGAGGCAAATTTACTGCTCCCCTCAGGGGCGTGTGCGCATGTGGAGAGCGTGAACGTGAGTGCGGTGAACTGAAGCACCGTGAAGAGGTGGCATGATTGGGCAGAGGTCTGTGCTCCCGCAGGGCCTCACGTTTCCCGACCACAACCAGCTCGCGCTCCTGCCTTCATGCCTGCCAGAGGAGCGTGAGACACCCTGGCCCTCTCGTTCCCTGCCTGCCAGCCAGCGAAGGGCAGGGGAGAAAATGGAGAACTGCCTCATGGAGGGACGGGGCACGGTGAGGGTGACTGGGCCAGGGGCGCTCCGAAACCTGGACCGGGCCGTCAAGGTGCCCGGGATGCTCTGGCAGGTGCCAGTTGCGTTAGGGGCGCTACAGGACTGCTGCTCTGGACCACGGCAAAGCCTGCACCCCCCCCCCCCCCCGGGAACCCCAAGAGACAGAATCTCTTGCAGCCCTCCAGAGGTTTTGGCCTGTGACTTCCAAGCTGTGTCACCGAGAGCGGGTGGACGTGTGGGTGAGGCCAAAGCCGCTGGCGGGCAAGGCATGGAAAACAGCATGATTTTTTCACCCCCTGCAAAGCTTCCGCCTAGGATTTTCCAGGGAAAAGTTTGGAAAAGTGGGGGATTTTTACACGAGTTATTTTCTTCTGCCCCCCCCCCCGCCAATTTTTACTGGGGATTTTCTGGGCCTTCGCATCCCTGCTCAGGAATGTTCTCTCTCTCTCACTGTGCACAAGATGTTCAGCCGCGGTCCTAGGATGACAGCAGCCGCAACGGGGGGGGGGGGGGCCCCGGGACCAGGGCTGGACGCGGCCATCTGGCAGCCCCACAAGCCCGTATCTGAACGTCGATCTGAGCAAGGCTGCTGCTCCGGCGAAAGGAGCCCTCCCAGCTCAAGTCCAGGCAGCCGGGATAAAGGGGGCTGGATGCTCTGTGGGGGGCGAGAGGGGCAGGAAGGGCAGCTGCTTGGGGAGAGGGAGGCCGAGGAGGAGGAACCGGCGGCTGCAGCTGCTGCTTCAAACAAGAGAGCCGGCCCACACGTCCCCTTTCTGTACACAAAGACGACAGGCGAGGCGAGGGTGGAGGGGCGCTTCTGTGTGCACGTGTCTCTCTCGTCATTTTTATTTCCTTTCTGCTGTACGGCACCTTCTTTGCCGTTGCCAGAGGATACAAAACAAAGATTTGGCTTCGGGCATCGGTGACGGCGCTCCACTGAAGAGCAACGGGGGCGAGCTTTCCAGAGACGGCTGACGCAGGGCCGGGGCGACACGTCCGTTTTCCTGAGGGGTGCTCGCCGAGGCGCCTCCGTTCCTCTGGCCCAGGGGTGTCCTTCGGGCCCACATCACTGCTCCTGCTGGAGGGAGGGACAAGCCACTGTTTCTCTGCACTCTTGAGACGTTCCCGGGGACCCGTGTCCTCACCGCACCTGCCCCAACTGCCCCGGCAGAAGTTGGCGGAAAGGCACCGCAGAGCCCGCGTTTTGTGGCCAGACAAAAGCCCAACTTCGCTAGCACAGAGGAGAAGTAGGAAGCAGAATTGCCCCTCTCTGGCTGGGCCATCAGAATGGGCAATTCTGGACCCTCAGCGGGAGCTGGCTTTGTACGCCAACATGATCTGGGGGCGTTGATGGAATTTGCCAGCGCCTGGAGGTGGCGGCAAAGCAGGCCAGTGTCCCTGCGGAAAGCGTAAGGTGGCTTTGTTAAATGAAGGTCCGCCACACTCCCCTTCTCTCCCTCCCGCGACGAAACAAGATGCATGTTCTCCTGTATCGCAAGACGCATGTTTTCCCCAGGAAACCCAGACTAAAGCAGCCACGGAGGCAAGAGGGCTTCAGCTCTCCCAAAACGGCTTTATGGCTTGCTCCGGAAGCGATGGGGCTTTGCCTGGCTGATTTTGCATGTGCCTAGAAGGGGGGGCGTGGCTGTGGTTGGGGAGACCCAGGCCAGTCCCAGCAGACAGGCTGCGCCTGTCACAGGCTGCAGAGTTAAGCCGTCTGGAGGGCTCTCACCTGGCCAGGGGATTTGCCACGGCATTCCTGAGAAAGACTGCTCCAGGACAAGCGATGCTCTTGACCGGAATGCCCCAAGGCAGGCAGACTCACCTTGACAAATTGTCCATGGAGGAGGTAAGGGGCTCGGAAGTCATGCTGGCAATTGGAGTATGCCATTCCTAAGCCTATCCCTGACCCGAAGGCGATGGGCCACGTCTTCCCTGGAGCGGAGGGGGGGGAGAGGGGAGAGGAGAGAAAGAGAAGGCACGTGGGTCAAAGCGCGTTCCCGCGGCCAGGAACCCTCGCTACGTGCACCCAGTGCAAACACAAGCCCCAGGGCACCCAAAGGCACTTACTTTTGAAGAAGATGACCGAGAAGACGATGCCCAGCCCAAAACCAGCACCTGCAAGAGAAACGGAGCAGTAAGAGCCGCCGCCTGCCCTGACGGCAACGGGGCAACTCACCTGAGGGGCAACTCACCCCTCTCCTTCGATGAAATTCCCACGGCACTTTGCAGAACACCAGCACGAAGCTCAGTTCCCTGGAGAACATCCGTTTAGGGTTCTTTTGGAAAGGGACCGCACACGACGCTCAAGCTTGTATCTTTTCCAGCTGGGTGTCTTCCCAGGGCGTTGGATTCCAGCTCCCAGTATCCCCAATCCTGGGTGATGGGGTTGAAGTCCAAGCCCCGGGAGAGGCACCAGGCGGGGAAGGCTGCTTCAGGGAGCGAGAAGGGGCAGCCGGGGGCCATCCCCGGCCTCTCGCAAAGGGGCTGCCGCCCTGGCCTGCTGCCCGAGACCTTTTCGGCCGGCGCTGCCGGCAACGGAGTCCTGTGCTTGCTGCAGGCAGGTGAGAGACGGGCTTCCCGAGGCAGCCAGATCCTGCTAGCCCCGTGCCAAGACCGGCAGCTGAAACAACCAAGCGGATGGAGCAGCTCCAGCGTCAAGAAAAAAAAGGTCCTGTGCCTGGAACCATTAAGCTCAGGAAAGAAGTGAGGGAGGCGTCCGGAATGAAGCTGGCTCTGGAATCCGAGCCGGGGGGGGGCGGGGGGTGCCTGCTCCTTCTGCCATCCACGCGCGGACCCAGAGCAGCCAACCCACGAAGCGGGTCGGGGACACCAGGGACAGCGGAAAAGCAGCGTGGCTTCACCTAGCCCAGGGTGGATCTATGCTATCCGCTTCCCCGAGATGGAGCGACGGCCACAGGTTTAAGGGGGACTGGACGCGGCCAGGAAGGGGGGGGGGAGCAAAGGCCGCTGGTCCAAGTGGCGGGGCGCTTCCTCCCGTGCCCAGATGCCGCACCTGGTTGGCCGCTGAGTGCGCACAGACCCCGCGCCCGACCCGACCCGGCTCTCCAGGGCGCTTCGGCATGTGCACCGTGCTCTCGGGGGCTTGCCTCGTCTCGCTGCCCAGGGTCCCGAGCTGGACGCTGACCGGCGCAGAGACACGATACGCCGAGCAGCGGCCCCTGCCCGTGCCCCGCACCTCACCTGGCCGAGGCATCCTTGAAGCCTTCAGAAGGCGTCCCAGGGAACCGGAGGGCTCTGAAAGCCGCCTGCTGGGCCCGTGCGAGCCCTGGGCTGACAGGAGACCCGTTCCCTCTCTGCCGGCGTGGCCAGAGACGTGCCAAGAGGAGGGAGATCTGCCCTCCCTGACGCCCCCCCGGCCTCCTCCAGAGCCCATGGTGCGGGGGGAGCCAAGGCAGACTGGCTCCGTGAGACCCATCGTTTTTATTCCCCTCGGTTTGTTTTCCTTGTAAGTGAGACCTTTCATGTTTTATTGTTATGAAGTTAAAGGCTGGCCCAGGAGGTGCCGCTCTTTAGTGGAAACAGCTGCCGCCGGCGGTGTCCCTCGGTTGGGTGGGAGGCCTTCTCCCGAGCGAGGCGCTGCCCTCTTCAAAGGGAATGGGGCATGCCAGGCCCAGGGCCTGAAAAAGCCACCGGCCTGCGTGGCTCAGGCTCGCTTGGCTGCTGTCTTTCAACCGCAGGGCCGGTGCTCTCTGCCCATGCTCTCGAGCACTCTCTTATCCCAGGAGTTCTGAAATTGAGCCCTGGCGATCGAGTAGTTCCTTTGGTGAACTCAAGAGTGAACCTGTGTCCAAGGGAACACCTCAAGGTGTTTTCTCAAAAACAGATGCAACGCATGAACTACAATTCGGGTTCTCTTGCAGACGACCTTTTTCCCGACAGCCTCGTCATCACTGGCCAGCCCGGCAGGAGCTTCTGGGAGCTGAAGTCCAAAACACCTGGAGAGCCACCTCTGTCCCACCCCTGTCTCAGAGCCCCTGCCTTCCACGAGGCTGAGAGGAAGATCTGGACGGAATAATGGATCAGAGAAGCGTTGATGCTTCAGTTTTCCTAGATTTGGGCTTCCGCAGGAATGCATGAGTTGCGTGATTTCAGGCAGATGCTCAAAAAGAATCCCAAACTGAACAACGTATGGAATGGACGACAGGACAGATTCAAACTCACCTGCCTACGGGACCCTACCAAAAGGATTAAGGGAAGGCCACGCCAGAAGGTAGGTGGAAACGGATTTGGAAGACAGATTATACACATGAAAGGCTTTAATAAGATTTAGCTCTGCTGTCTCCAAAAGAGCACAGGGACCCCTAGACAGCATGGTCTACCTAGATGAGACTTTGCAGTGCAGATGGGCAGGAAAACCTCTGCAGGTTGTCAGGTGGCATTCTTTCCTAGCTCTGACCTGGATAAACCTGGGGCAGTCTGCGTGTAAAGCAGGGGCTCTACCTGACCAATGCCCCCCCCCCCAAATCTGGTGCCATGCAGATTTGCTGGACTAGAAGGCCCATCAGCCACAACCCAGCATGGCCTGGATGAGAGCAGGCTGAGGAAGAACTACCTTTCAATCAGCAGATTTGCTTGCTTGCCAGTTTCATCTACCATATTCTGAGGGGGAGATGATGAGGGAGTGAACAATAAAAGAAAAAGCAGATAAAGCCATGAAACCTGTTAAATACACAATCGAGAAGGCTTCCTGAAATAAAAGTGTCTCCAGAGACACTGAAAACAAAACAATGTTGGAGCTGCCTGGCCTCCAAAGGCAGGGAGCTGCACAGGGAGGGGGCCGCCACTAGGAAGGTTCTGCTCTGGGTAGACACCCACTGGGATAGAGGTCCATACCGGACCCCCAGGAACAAGTCTTGGAGGCCTGGCATGTCGGTCGAGGAGAAGGCAGTGGTGCCAAATTGCCAAATTGGACTCCATATGCTAGCTGCCGATTCTTAAACCTGGTTTGACAGTGGAAAGGTTGCTGGCACACACGGTTCCGTCAACAAAGGATTTCTATGCTGACAAGGGGCTGGCACGAGTCGTGACCGAGCATCACCCATGGCCAGGGCCTCCCTCCTCTCCCATTCTCCTACCGCAGCCTCCAGGCAGAAAAGTCGGTCCCAGCTTGTGCAGGGGGGAGAAGCGGCTGAGGGCATTTATGCTCCTTAAAACCAAACCGGCCTGCCCACCAAAGAAACCCACCACAAATGCAATCCAGGAGTAAAAAAATGGGGCGAGCGAGCGAGCACTGGGCATTTGGCTCAGCAAAGCATGCTACAGTCCAGCTTTATACTTCCTGCCCGCGGACAGTTTCTCTGCCGCCGCTGCCAAGCCAAACAAGTTAGCTAATCAACGAGAAATTATTTACAAGGAAAATGGGTCATGAATCACGCTCGCACCATCCTGAAATCAGTTGCTTCCGTTACCACACTTTCCATCCTGTCGGGAGAAATTAACCACCCGGCTGCTGCCCAGGGAAGGGCAGCCAGAGAGCTCGGAGCACGCTGGAGGGGCCCAAGCCCCCCACCCGCATTCTTCCAGAGTGGCCATTTGGTGCCACGGCAGAGATGGGGGGAACACTCTGCTCTCCTCCAGGACACGGGACCACTGTTTCCGTTTCAGGCGGGCCATGTAGAACATACCCCTGAAGGACTCCTTTGCTGGGCACCAGTTTGTTTCCAGGGTAGAGCCTATTTACCAGCATTAGCCCTAAAGCCCCTGCTCAAAGCTGAGGGGCTTGACTGGTGCCTGCTCCTTCCGATGCCAGGTGAGCCCCTTGTTCTGCACTTCAGCCTGGAGGCTCCACGTCTTGCTACACATTGAGAAAGTCTTTGCCCTGTTCTGCATATAACGCTAACCCACGAGTCACTACATTCTGGGTAGCTGAGGTGTCTGAACGGAGCCGTGTTGTGGTTTACAAACCTTAGATTATTAACCAGCAACAATCAAGGTAAAGAAGCCAAGGTCTGTTGGGCTGTGCATGCTTTGCTGGTTAAACCATGGGTTGTTTTGCCGGGCTAACAAAGATGGTGGGCAGCAGCGCTTAAACAAGCCAACGAATGCTTCTAATCAAAGAGGCCAAAACTGGTTTTGCCAGGCAAGTCCACCCCAGCCTTCAGAGCCCCTCGCCTACTCATCTGTGGCGAGCCAGCTTTCTCTCAAGCTGAGCAAAAGGAAGTTCCCGGAATTCAGAAATGCTTGTTGGGCACTATCCAGTCTTGGTATCGCACTTCTGCTGCGCTTACACAGCCCACTTCTTGCATTAGCAGAAAGTGGCACTTCTGACAGTAATTCTGGAAGTGCCTTTTCCTGGAATGGGACTTCTCTGCTCCCGAGGGTCTTCTGAGGGTGCCCTGCTGCACACACGAGGCCGGGCAGTGCTGGGAACTGTCCGGAGTTTCCTACGTTCAGGTTATTGATGTGCCACCAATAAATTTATGTTGGCAGGAGACCGCAGGCCGGTTGAGTTGGTGCGGCTTGCTCCTTTTCACAAATTCTGAAGGCTGGTTCATCCAGCTTTCCATGACAGCACGGAGAACCGCGAACGGAAAGGGCAAGCGCGAATGCCAGGTGCCGGTGGTACATAATAGACCATAAAGCCATCAAGATCACAGAGGAGGAAAAGTGACAAACATTTTCCCTCCGCCCCTGGTTAAATAGCCTCTTCTTTCTCGTCTAGCTTTGGCCTGGGATCATACACACAATCCCCAACTTGTTTAAAGAAGAAATAAAGAGGCGTTAAGCAACTACAAAGACATCCCCCCCCCCCCCGCCCACCACCTGGTTTAGGAAACTGTTACTGTGGATAATTCTTCATCACACCAGGAAGCACTGCGGTTCTGTGGTCACCTCCTCGGTGTCAGCAAGGAGGCAACCAGACGGCTGAGCCAATCTGTCCTGGGAACCAAAGGCATGCCAGGCTCTAGTCCTCCTGCCCAAGCCCTCCGGGAACAGAAGGGTCTCGTGGTACGGACACTGCAAGGGGTGGAGTGGCGAGCGGCCAAGGCCCCCGCTAAACCAAGCCGAAAAGCAAAGAGACAGAAGAGCTAAGCCAGCCAGTGGCTTTTTCAGGCCCTGGGCCTGGCACGCCCCATTTCTTTTTAAGAGGGCAG